TGTTCCAGATTCTCTGAATCTTTTGATGATGTTATGCACGGTTGATGAAGACAACTTAAAAGTCTTTGCTATTTTACACTGGGTAACACCATTCTGGTATTGCTGCACTATCTTTCTGCGCAACAATGGTGGAATTGGTGATCCTCTTACCATCTTGGCTTCCGAGAGACACTGACACTCTGAGAAGCTCTTTTTATACCCAATCATGTTGTCAATTGACATAATTAGTGTTAATTGGTCTTCCAGCTGTTCGTTATATGCTCTATTTGTCTGTACAGCACTTTGGTTGGCCTTGTCGCTGTTTTAAGTGCTCTATAAATACAGTGGTATGGTATGGTAATTTCCTTTTTCCAGCCACTTATTACTACTTGGCCCAACTTTTTAGGGATTTGTTGACACTGTGAAATTTTGAATCAATATATTTTTCCTTTAAAATGTTACATTTACTCAGATTAAACTTTTGATCTGTCATCTATGTTATATTACGAATAAAATATTGACATTTACCATCTCCACATCATTGCATTCAGTTTTTATTCACAATTTGTTTAGTATCCCAACTATTTTGGAATCCGGTTTGTAGCTGGATACATATATATTAGGTATATTTGTGTTGGCTAGAGCCCATTAATTGTGGCGACCATCTTTAATTAGACTGACTTCAAAAGTTACATCAGTTACAGATCTAATGAACACTCACTAAATGTTTATTTATTATATTCTGTCAAGTGGTTCAAGAGATATTTTGCTAACCAACAAAAAGGGTCACCTACAAGTTAATGGTAAACGTTTAAGCACAAATCTTGAGCAATATTAGTTTGTGTTGTGAACGGCTCTCAGCTTCAACTACACCACATTTTAGCACATCATTTGTAAAACTGACTGAATTATAGCCTTTTCATGTTATCCAGGGTTGGTGGGCTGTGGTAGCCATCTTGAAGGGTGCAACTAAAAAAGTGAAGTTAAAGAGTTCATTCAATGAATATTTGGTGAAAGTTTCATTAAAAACCATCCAGTTGCTTATGAGATGTTTTGCTGACAGAATGTGCCATTTCTTAACTAGAAACACTACTATTGGTGAAGGACGTAAAGTTATTAGTTTTGAGGCAACAGAGCAAAAACATTTTCAAGAGGGCATGGAAGGATATTGCAGTAAATTATAGCATTAAAGCCAGAAGTGAAACTGTACACGTTACTTGAACAGCACACTTCACTGGTGCACGGCCCCCCATGAGGTATTGACCCTTGTGTTAGTTTTACATTATGACTGCAGTGTTGACAATAATTATGCCAACAACTCTTTCTGTAGCAGAGGTTTGGACTCGTCACAACAGGGACACAAACAGAGCCAAGAATGGCTCAGGTCCATTTAACAAGCCAGTGAGCATGACTGTGAAACAGCACAAACAAAAGCTTTATTAACAGCAACACAGCCATTAATACATCTGTGAGGTGTCTTCTGTGAGAAGTCAAAATGTGAGCTCTGAGATGGGTCCATCTGTCCAACAAAACATTTGTGCAACAAAGATTACTCACAACTCACAATTATGAGAGAGAGACAAAGACTGTCACTGACCGCTATTCCTCTCCACAGTCTATTAAAAGTGCACCACATTACCATAAACTGACGACTCAGCTGAAAACATATGAAGGAAATACAGAACATCCAGTCTGAGGAGTGTGCATGAATCCAGGTTGGAGCAGAACAAGCCTGTGAAATAACCTCAGGCACTACTGTGGGTAGAAACTGCTGTCTTTGTGGCTGCATGACCACTGAATGATAGATTCAGCTTACAGGAAACATGAGATGGTCTAAAATCAGGTTTGGACTAGAATCCATATCAAATGACTGAACAATATTTCAAATACATAAAAATTGTAAAGAAATGTTTTAGTACTCTTGTTTACGTTTTGCTTGAAGATGTTCTTTGCATGCGATGGTGAACTTGTTTGGCATGGTAGTGAAGTGGTTGACTGTGTCGTCTCACAGCAAGAAAGTGGCAAGTTTGTCTCCTAGCCTTTATATATGGAGTTTGCATGCTTTTCCTGTACATGCTTGGGTTTTCACAGCAACTCTGGTTCCCTCCCACAGACCAAAAATATGCATTTTAGGGTAACTGGTAACTAAAAATGATCCCTAGGTGTGAGTTTGTCTCTGTGTGGCTTTCTGACAGACTTGCAACCAGTCCAGGGTGTACCGTGCCTTTTGGACAATGACCGTTGATGATAGGCACCAAAAGCAAAAAAGCTCAACAAAAAAAAAGCATGGCAGCACTGATGGTTTGTCAAGTGACATTTAAAGAACAGACAAAATTAAGAAATCCAGCAGCTGACAGAGCATAGATAATCCTCTGTTGGGATTTATTAGACTGCCTGAAATGTCTGAGGGCACCTCGGGGTGGCAGAGTGAATTCATTATTAACCACATCAACAAGCTCCAACCAGAAATATAAGAAAGAGTAACTGATGTGTAGATTGAGACTGTTCAACTAATGATGTTTCTGTGCAACTGGTGAAATACTTGACATGTCAACAGCATGGCATTAGTCCAACGTATTTTCCCTGAACTGGGAAGGCAAGCCAATGCACTAGCGCAGTAGATTACAAATTGGTAGGACAATGGCTAAGTATGAAAATAAACATAAAAAAGATTATCCATATCTACCGTACATGAAATGGTTCAGTTTGAAAGAGTTTACACTAGTAGTTTAGTAGTACTGATGTGCAATTCAGAAATGCTGATCCACACAATGAAAAGGAAGCACTTGGCAGAATCCGCCAAAACGAAAGATGGAGTTACATGATTGACCTATATTAGGCTGCCAGAGATTTGTGTAGGTAAACAAATATAGCAGAATAGGACAAGTTTGAAATGTCAAAAAGGACATGACCTATATTCAGTCACTTTGGCTATGTCTGTATTTAAAAAAATGCACTTGGCAGATGGCATCCAGTAATAAATTTGTTTACAAATTTTTCATGCAAGAACACATGAACTAGCAATGAGAAAAATATATAGTGAGGATTGTGTTTCTTTATGAATTTTTTGACCAAACTTAATGACTCCTTTCACTCTGCTCTCGTGAAGGGGCCACAATAACACATCCATTATTTGTCCTCATTGGAAAAAAGCCTACTAGCATAGATGTACTTTGATGCAAGAAGTTACTTTGTTTACTATCACAACAGCCTGAAATATGGACAGTTTCCATGGAAACCAGAATCCTCATATTATACAAATAGAGTGTGTAAAGTCACAGATGTACATTAGACATTATAAAGGTTGCACATTTCTGAGTGATGCCTTAGATGTACAGATTATCTGTGGATCTGGTGGGAAAAAATATCAAAATAGTGAACAAATAATCTAATGCTACATATTTTGTTAAAATGTCATCAAAAAATTTAATTCAGCTTAAAATATATATTTTTAGTTTTACAAAACTGAGAAGATGTGCTTTAATTGTATTTCAACTCCAGTTCATGTTAGGTTAATTGTCCACCCCAGCATTGCATCCCACATACTGGCCTGCATTTGTAACTTGGAAAAGTAATTATCACCTCTTGTGTATTGGAAATGAAAAACAGCTACTTTGAGTAAAGCTAACACACAATAGCACCTCTTGGCACTGCTCTCCTGAGGATGGTGGTGTTCAGAGGATTCTGCTCACTGAAAACCAGCCAATTGCTGCTAGCACATGTCTCCATGGTAAGGGTTGCCTGGGGCAACAAATGGCACTGTCAAACAAATTGATGAGCACCAATGGGAGGTACATGCTGGATGTACACAATCTATCAAATGTTTCAATTGACTTTCAGCACTGGTAAGTATTCTCTGATGTAGTTAACAGCTATTTTAGTTGTGTTCACTTTAAATAATAAACAAAACAACAACAAAAACTTGTAGCCAAAACATGTAGTACCAGTTTGAACTCCATTAACAGTCAAGTGCAAGCATTTGACAAGCCTAGTGTAGTCTGTCAAGATCTGCTTTTAGTGAATATTACTGATTTACCAATGTGTACAGTAAATTGCATCCTGCGTTATCAGACAATGTTGGGGAGAAATACAACTCTAGGGTAGACATGTCAGCCAGCAGGACTTTTTCCCCATGTCCAAAGGAACTCTGTGGGGGACCAACTGCCCTCCCAAACAAGACTGGTCCTAGGTGACTGGCTCCACAAAGAATGATTCATAATACTGTATGGTAAAAAATAAATAAAAAGAAGGAGCTTAATGTCTAACACCCAGATGTTGGTTACCAGTACTAGGGTCCCACCCTGGAGCGAAGCCTTAAGGTGGGTTTTTTCAGCATCTAGTAATCAGGCCCTTTACCCATGGGGATCGGTCAGCTCTGTCCGAATGAGTTACATAAGTTTATCTTTCTGTGGGCCTTCTACCTGCAAGGAGGGATCATTCAGGTTGGGTGCATCGTAATATGGGCAGTAGCAGAAGGCAGGGGTCTGGGCACTTCTACCCTAGCATACTGAAGGGGCTCCTGGGACATGTAATGTCACCTTTCTGCTGGGGAAGCTGCCTGAGTGTGTGTGAGGATGAGTGGTTCCAACTACTGTAGATAGTCTGGCTCACCTCAATGTACTGCATGGGTTCTGGAACCAATCTCTTAGAGAAAGGGCTGGACCTTTTTTCCCCCCGGAGTTGCATATGGTGAGATGTGCTGAACTGGTGTGGGCCTGCTTATAGTCCCCCAGTTTGCCACCTTAGCATTGGAGTTTACCCAATAGATGAGTCTTGCTCCTTTGCATTTTCAGTTGGGGCCCAGGTTTAAATGTTGCTTGTGTCTTATGTGCTGAATGCAAGTTTGATGCTCTGATTGGATGAGTTATGTTGCTACTCACCAGTCAGTCCCTTTATAAATGGTCTGGTTTGCATTGCTGCCAGCAAATCAGACCTCTTCAGCATAAGATTCGGACTATGCCAGGACTGCCTGTTGTCACAGATTTTGTTCATAATTTTTATGGACAGAATTTCTAGGTGTCCAGGGGTCCTGTTCTGTGGCTTCAGGATTCAATCTCAGTTATTTGCAGAAGAAGGGGTCCTGTGGTGCCAATTCTCACTGGAGCAGTTCACAGCAGATTGTGAAGCAGATGGAATAAAGATCAGGACCTCCAAATGAGGCCATAGTCCTCAGTTGAAGAAAGTTGGCAGTGAGATGCTGCCTCAAGTGGAGGAGTTAAAGTATGCCAGGGGTTTGCTCATGAGTGAGGAAAGAATGGGAATTGACAAATCGGTGTGTCTTCTGCATATTGCATACTCTATACCAGTTTATTGTGTTTAAGAGGGAGCTGAGCTTTCAGTCAAAACTTTCTGTGTCTATCAATCTGCATCCCTACCCTCACTTATGGTCACAAACACTGGGTAGTGACAGAACGAACAAGATGGTGGATGAAAGCAGTTGAAATTAACTTTCTCTGCAGACACTATTAGAGATAGGGTGGGAAGTTAAATTATCTGAGAGAGACCAAGTAGAACTGCTGCTGCTGCTGCTCCTCCAAATTAAGAGGAGCCAGTTGAGATGGCATCTGGTAAGAATGCCCCCAGGACACCTCCCAAGAAAGGTGTTCCAGGCATTTCCAACTTGGAGGAGACCCCAGGAAAGACCCAGGACATGTTGGAATGACCATACCTCCCAACTGGACTGGGAACCTCTTGAAGTCCTCTTGAAAAAGCTGGAAGGGATTGCTGTGAAGATATATGTCTGGGTCTTCCTGCTCAAGCTGTTGCCACCGCAACCCGAGTCTGCAACAAGCAGCAGATAATGGATGGATAGATGAAAGCTTGTTGCCTTTAAGTTTGAAGTACAGTGGGGCTCTTTGCACTTTTTATGTTTCCCTTTCCTTCAATCCATCATGGAACTGACAACGAGTACCAGTTCACCATCTTTAAAAGCTTGCATTCTTTCTGAAACTGCATAAGACCAGTTTCTGACACGATTATGACACACTAAAGAGAAGATGTGTGGGAAAGTGTGCTTAAAAAGGATGAGTGTCTAATGCCCTCGACACTCTTGCAGGCTGGCAAGTGGGAGTGCTAAGCTAACACTTAATTGAGAACAAAGCAGAGGAGTGGGGTAAACACTCTGAGATGCTGGCGCGTCAGTTTGTCTGCCCACAGTCAGGTGAGACAGCTTACAGCCAAGTGGTGATGGTTCCCTCCACTTTTTCCTACTTTCACACTTGCAGCTCAGTGGATTTCTGTGGTTATGTGCACACTGCACAGATATTAGCTCAATATGAGCAATAACACAACCTAGTTATGCCCAAACTAGAGCTAAGGAAGGGACAGATGAAATTTTTAGAGCATATTCCAATTTGCTTTTCCTTTAACTCACCCTTTGCTCTCCACTTTTATTACGAGAGATGTCATGAGGTACCAGACTCAGGTAGAAGCTTCCAGACATCTTTACTTAAGACATTAGCATAACTCTTGGGGCTGTCTAACCCAGAAAAAAAACAACAAAAAAAAAACGCTGTTGTGTGTCACCCTTTAAGCATGGACACATCTTTAGTCATAAATTATTGTTCACAAACAAATGGAGTGGAGAATCAGAATCAGAAATGGACAGAAGCAGATATTTTCCTGTTAAAGTTTAATTTAATATTAATGACAAATTATTTATTCCAATTCAGACTACTGGATAAAATATTAAACTCATAAAATGTTGTACAATTTCACAGTTTTGTACGGCCCTATGAAATCATTTTGTCCGAAATTCTGTTTTAATTTTTCCAAGTCAAATGTTTAATAATGTAACATTTTTTCACCCAAAAGTGTCTCTTATAGGGTGGGATAATAAAATTTTGATTATTGAATGGGAAGACATCCATAATTTTATGAATATTGAATGATTAAAAAAAGTTTTGCTTAAACAAAACATTCAGTGATTTAGTTTAAAAATTTGCCTGTAAATAAAAAAAAAACCTTCCACTGTTTTTGTAAAATAAGATTTCTCACATTTGCTTCACAAGAGAGGAAAATAAATTGGTTTTATAAAAGGAACACTTCCTGCATGAACCTAAAATTCCCTCAAAATTACCTTATTACTGGTAATATTGTCTAACTTTTTTGTAAATTGATCTGACCCATATGATGGTGATAACAGTTTAGGATTTCCTCTAAAATTAACTGGACACCTTTCAGCTGTTCAGCATGTAGTGTTGAAGTTTACCCGGGGAATAATTGTGTTTGGAAATGTTTAATGTAAACCGGCATTTTGGTATTTTTACATCAATATTTGGTTCTACATTTATGACTGTCAAGTAGGGGTGGGCGATATGGCTGAGTGGTTAGAGAAGTTGTCCTCCAATGTGAGAGTTGGGGGGTTCAAATCCACCAGCAGTCACATGCGTCCCTGGGCAAGACACTGAACCCCTCATTGCCTCTGATGCGTGTCCCATCAGTGTCTGAATGTGATCTAAAGCACTGACTAGTCTCTTTAGAATGATTTGTTCAATTAGCTTTGTAGAGATCTAGTAGAGTGCTGTGTGAATGGGTAAATGAGGACACAGATTGTAGTATAAAGCGCTTTGAATATCTTGAAATAAGATAGAAAGGGGCTATATAAGTACAGTCCATTTATATTTTCCCAGGCAAGCTTTTTTTTTTAAACCGGTATTATCGTGAACGATATATGGCCCAGCCCTACTGTCAAATGTTTAATAAACACACATCAGTTCTTCTGCTGCATTTTATGTGGAAGAGAGTCGACGGCTCGGCGTTTTGCGCATGCGTCCGAATACAACAACACTACGGCAAGCCGGCTGTAGTTAGCTTGTAGCTTCGCTACTTAGCTCTCAAAGAAAAGACTAACGCCACTTGCGCACAGTTTTCAACAAAAAAAAAGTAACGATTAAATCTGACAGCTCTGATTTTACATCAGACAGCATTACTGCGGTTAGCCGGTAAAGACAGATATCTATTGTAGGCTAAATTTCTATCGTTTCTACCGTATACCGTATATATCACGCATTCCTAGTGGACAATAGAGAAATAATTTTAATAATGATTAATTTTTTGTTTGTTTTGTCAATTATACAATTTTTTGATGACCAGGACCAAAAATCTAATTTGAAACTACAAACTGAGTTTTTGTACAGATCCAATAGCAACCAGTCATACTCAAGTAAAATGAAAGTCAACCATTCTTCAGTTATAGCATTACACATAAAAAAAAAAAAGATTTGTTCCTAACTAGGTTCTAACAAACAAATAGCAAAACTAAAATAGGAAAAGGTCTACATATTTAAAAAAACAAAACAAAACTGTGCAGAATGGGTAAAAGTATTTGCAGTGTAAGGTATTGTTTACCAGTATTTATTATCATTTCAGTTTTGTTTAAAATTAGGCCTGTCACAATAACAAATTTTGCTAGGCGATTAATTGTCTCAGAAATTGTTGCGATAAATGATACTATTGTTTGAAATTTGACAATAATTAGTAATTATTATCAAATTTATGAAGAAATTATTGGTTAATTTGTTTTGAGTGTGGTACCTTTTTTGACCACAGGATGGCAGTATAAGACCGTTTGAACTGAAGGATGGATAGCGAGGGTCCGAGCAGTGTGTCTTTAAGAAGAATGGGAGGGAAGCCCCTTGACGTGACACAGGCTGTCTCTCTTTCCTTTTGTTCAATTCTCAAGATGACTGATGCTTGGTGTGGTTTAAGCTCTTTAGCATAGCATTTTTCACACAAAGTTTTAAATAAAAACAGTAAACAAGTTCTCGGTTTCTTTTTGCAGAGAAAAACAACTTTTTAAACAAGGCACAGGTTTTAATTGTGAATTTTGGAGCTTCGACAACATGGAGGTTTTTCCCCAAGGTTGGTCTGTTAGCTTAGCTTCTCAGCTTAGCTGATTTTAACAATACAAAAACACGATTCTGGATGGTTAAAATGGATTTTAAAGATAATGGAGGGGTCAGTGAAAAGCACCAGAGTTGAGCTTTTTGTCATCCAGTGACTTCAGTAGAAAGAGAGAGATAACGCCGATAAATAAAAATGAGGTAGATAATTTTCATTTATCATACAATTAATTGATTTATTGTTTATCACGACAGGCCTACTTAAAACTGAAATCTGTGTTGTATCCATCCATCCATTATCTTCCGCTTGTAGAATAATTAGAAAGGGAAATAAATTTACAGAGATTCTTAACAATTTGCCAACACAAGTTAGCAACAGCCAAAGTGCTTTACTTAATAAAAAAATAAAAAAATCTCATCATCTTCAAAACCAATTTACAGAACCAGCTAACAGTAACTTATAAAATATAATGCCATTGTCAGTGTGTGTGTGTGTTAGTTTTACACTTACGATCTAATCCATTGACATAGCGGATCGACACTTCACAGTGACCCCACACAGCACTGACGATGGGATACAATCTCTTGCCCTTTAGGCCTCTGAAAGCCACTCCCAGATACTGTCCATCCACCATGAAGCTCAGAGTCCCTTCATCCATGTCCAATATTACTGTCAGACAGTCCGGGAGCACGAAGGACTCATCTGACTGCAGGAAAGACGGGTAAGTGGGTGCCAATGTGGAATCAGGTCTGTTCTTTCCGTCATGGTAAAGTCTGTTCCGACCCAGGTCCCAGCCCCAGGACTCGGAGTCTGAACCCACCAGGGCTGTATAGCCCACCGAGTGTAAAGGTGCTTCAGCAGTGGCCACCCCAACAACAGCATGAGTGCCTCGTTGTCTGGCTGGCCAGTGAATCCTCCATACATGGAGGCCTCTGGTGTAGCCCACCCTTCCTCGGATACAGTCTGTGCTCTGTGCAACAGGGTGCCGATGAAACGTAAGCTTGTCATCCTCCTTGACAAAGACATTGAGTGATCGGTCATCAGGGTTCCAGGCATGGCCAAGTTGCATCTCAGTGCTGGCTGAAGGCATGTCTAACAGTAGGTCTAACCTAGTGGGCCGACAGAAATCTGGACCCCTTAGTTCACGCCGCACTGGTCGGTACGAGGGCTCCCCACGTACATCAACTGACTTTATGCTGCCCGAGATCTTCTGGCCCATTATTTAGTAGATCCAAGGGAGAAGGGGGCAGAGGGGATGGAGTAGGATGGACCAAGGGTGGCAACCAAGGGCCAGAAGGTTTTTACGTTACCTCATGAGTGCACCATATAACGGTCTGTCTTGTGTGGGAAGACGGTAAACGACATACACATAGTCTTCAGCTGAGATGGACCGCACTCCTGAAACACATAAACAACATCATGATTTAACAGTTGTTTTCCCCAGACTTTCTCAAAACAGGCATTGTTTTGTATTTACCCTGTAAAATAAAGCAGATGAAGCAATGTATACGTATCTTTGGATAACTTCAGAATTATTCAAATTGCTTCCACGAGTAAAACTTCTTTATTTTCCAAACTTAAAATTGATTTTCTATGACATCGCTGTTTTTATTTGTAAAAATTTCCTTCAAAGTCTGAATCTCCATTCTGACGGCCTCTCAGTCGTCGCACCCTTCAGCTAACCAACAAATATCAACTAATTAATATTTTATACATCTATAAGAAATTCCTGCTGTAAGAGTAAGAAGACTAAAAGCCTCAAACTACTTCAAAAGTAAACTTGCTACACTGCTGAACTTCCTCACTTTCTCTCTCACTACTGTATTCTGCAGGCATTCTAAGATTTCACACATCTTGTACAATTTCAAAGGAAGTGGTTCTACATTATGCTTTCCAGGGAATGTACAGTAACTGGTATTCTGGTTCTGTGTACCGGTGTGTTTCTTGACAAAATAATATCACCCTCTGCAGTGAAACTGAGCTCTATCTGCACGAGACAATGTTGCCTTTATTTGAAACTGTACAGCTCATGTGCCATTTATTTGTTTAAAAAAAAATTGTATGACTTTTTATAACTGTTTATTGTTGTCGCTGTTGTCCATTGTTGTCATCATTCTTTGTTGAAAACAGGTCTCTCTTGTAAATGAGTCCTCGGGGCTCAATGAGATTTACCTGTTTAAATAAAGGTTGAATGAAAATTTCCAAAAATCAGCCAGTCTTGATGGCAATTTAACACTTGACACATTTTCATATTTTATTATACATTTTAAGATTATTCTCTCACAATTCTGAAGAAAGTAAAAGAGATGCTTGACCCATGAGCAATAGAAGGCTTTTATTCTTCTTCCTCTGTCCTCACTCCAACTACCTCCATGTCCTCTCTAACTGCATCCATACGTATATCTCCTATTTGTCTTTTTCCTGGCAGCTGCATTTCCAACATCCTTCAACCAGTATACCCACTGTCCCTCCTCTTGGCATGTCCAAACTATCTCAGTCTGACCTTTCTAACTTTATCTCCAGGTTGTTCAACCTGTACTGTACCTCTGATTATCTCATTCCTAATATTACCCATCCTTGTCACTCCTAAGGAGAACCTCAACATCTTATTGCTGCCACTTCCAGTTCTTTCTCCAGTATTTTTGTCAATGCCACTGTCAACAAATCATACAGCGTAGCTGGTCTCACCACTGTCTTGTAAACTTTTCCTTTGACCTTTGCTGACAACTTTAGTCACAAATCACTCCTGAAACTTTTCTTCATCCACTCCATCCTGCCTGGAGTCTTTTTCACCTCTTTATCACACTCCCCATTTTCCTGGACGGTGGACCGCAAGTACTTGAAGTCCTGCACTTTTGTAACCTCTGCTCCTTGTAGCCTCACTGTTCCACCGACCTACCTCTCATTCACACACTGACTTTCATTCCTCTTCTTTCAAGTGTATACCTCCACCTGTCTAAGTTCTCTTCCACCTGTTCCCTGTTCTCACCACAGATCACAATGTCATCTGCAAACATCATAGTCCATGGGGATTCCTGCCCGACTCATTTGTTAGTCAGTCCATCACCAAAGCAAACAAGAAGGGGCTCAGAGCCGATCCTTGATGCACTCCCATCTCCACCTTGAAGCTATCTGTCACTCCTACAGCACATCTCACCACTGTCCTGCTGTCCTCATACATGTCCTGTACCAGTCTAAGATGCTTCTCTGCCACTCCAGATTCCTTCATGCAATACCTCACCTCCTCCCTCAGCACCCTGTCATATGCTTTTTCTAAATCCACAAAACTACAATGACGTTCTTTCTGACCCTCTCTGTACTTCTCTATCAGCATCCTCAAAGCAAAGATGGCATCTGTGGTGCTCTTTCTTGGCATGAAACCATACTGATGCTCACAGATAGTCACCTCTCGTCTAAGTCTTGATTCCACAACTCTCTCCCAGATCTTCATCGTGTGGCTTATTAACTTAATTTCCCCCGTAGTTGCTACAACTCTGTACATCACCCTTGTTCTTAAAAATGGGCACCAGCACACTTCTTCTCCATTCCTGAGGCATTTTCTCACCCTCAAATATACCATTGAATATTTGAGTTAAAAACCTCACTGTCATCTTTCCAAGACATTTCCAAATCTCCACTGGTATGTCATCAGTTCCTACTGCCTTCCCCTTCTTCATTCTTTTCAGAGATTTCCGGAGTATTTGGGGAAAAAAAAACTCAGAAGGATTTTCTCCAAACACGGAATCCTGATACATCTTAAACCCAACAGGACCCACAGACAGAGAATAATCCATCTGAAGGACAGAACCCACAAACCCAAACTGAGTGGTGAGACAGTGCAGCATTAAGCTGGATTCTCAGTCATTTTCACTCTAACTCACACCTTCATGTATGTGACCAAAACATCTCTTATGGGAGCCTAACACTTTATTCGGAGGGATGAGAGTTTTTATTCTAATCTGCATGTGATCCTTGGTACATCAGAACATCTTTCATGCAGTTCTATAAAGCTTGGAACTGCACACACTTCAGGCATTAAGTAAATTAATAAATCCTCTCAGATGGGAAGTGAAATGTTTTCCTAGATTAGATGGATCGTGGATTATAACTTTTTAGAGCTTCAAACTACATCTGTTATGACAACAAAAGCATGGATCACTGGACAAATTGAAATGAACAAATGTCAAACATTTTGTACGGTCTACTTCTATTAAAACGTGTTTCCATACACTACTTAATAGTACGTGCTGGTTATAAATTGAGCTTTAATTTATGTTTAATTGAGGATCCTGTGACATGTGGAGGTGAAAGAACAATAGAGGTTGAAAAGAAATGCAACAGACCGGGATGATGAATGAGAAACAGCTCTGACAACAACAGCATACAAGACTGAGTATTCACAGGCAACCCACTCAGGTTGTGTGTTTGCTAAGCATCGTCTCATGATTGGATCCCAAGACGAGTGACGAGCTGCCCATTTTCACATTTTTCACAGCCAAAGATGGAACATGATGAGGCCATTTCAGGACAAATGAAAGGCCCATTCATCATCTGACACAACATAGCACCAGAAAAAGAAAAACGGATTGTAATCACAGCCTTGTGGCCACACATTTGGTATTTTATATGGTTTTAAACACTCACATACTAATGCATAGAGAAATTTAAGAGTCTAATTTTAAAATTTCAGTGGGAAAAAAACAAGGCCAAACATGACAAAAACAAAATAAAACAATTTATTCATGTGAAGGAAAAAGGGGTTACAAATGACAAAACGGTAAATTTAAGTTATGCTTTAGATAGTTTTCCAGAATCAAAGAGACCAATTTAACCCTAGTACATATCGACACCAAAAATGGATCACACACAACTCTGCATGATGTTTCTGGAGGGCAGTCATCGTCTGATGCCGCGGTCTTTGTTATCTTCATGCTGCTAACAGAACCACACTGCTAGCTGAACCATGTTGACAGGACTGTGCTGCTAACAGGACCACATTGCTAAAAAGGACCATGTTGCTGAGGGGACTAGTGTAGGGGTGTACTGATAAATCGGCCCCGATTTCCTAAATTTTGGGAAATTGGCCGATACTTGCATGAGAAGCTGATTTAACCTATTTTTTTAACAACAATTGTCTGAACTTCATTTATATTTCAGAACACTACCTAATGGCCAGTTAAAACGTGTTTGTATTGTTTCCAAGATATTTTTCAAGGGTATGTTTTTCAACAAAATAATATTGGAAAATTGAAGGTGCATTGTGACCTTATAACACCTGACAGTGTCGCTTATCAAACAAAATCGGTATCGGCTAAAATCGGAATCGGCAGGTCGCACTTTTTAGAAATCGGTGATCGGCCAGAAAACTGCAATCGTTGCGCCCCTAGACTAGTGTGCTGCTAGCAGGACAGCGCTGCTGACAGAGCCACACTGATGACAGTACCATGCTGCTAGCGGGACCACGCTGCTAACAAAACCACACTGTTAACAGAACCACTCTTGCTAATATGACCATGCTGCTAACAGTAACAGTGTTTTAATAACACTATTTTTGTTCTGGTTGCTTTTTGTTGTTGTATATTGTTGTCTGGACTCTATATGTTCTCTTGTCTATAACAGGTTTCTCTTGAAAATGAATCCTTGTGACTCAATGAGACTACCTGTAAATAAAAGTGAAATAAAATTAAAAATAATTACAATGCAAGTCAATAGCACATATTTATGAGTTTAAAAAAATCAAAATCAAATCTATAGGTAATCGCAGGGGTTGTTCTCAGCTTTAGTTGTATGACCACAACAAGGGAAGAAGGCCACGATTTGGAGGTACATGTAGCAAACACCATATCTTTAGCACCATTAAGTTTTATGCTGTAACAAACCAGACTACCCTGAGAAACGCAAAGAACAAGTTGTCTTCACAAACCTGAGTAACCAGTGACTATTCTACATCCTAAATCAACTACGCCAGATAAAATATTATAAAAGTACAATTTACTACCATGGAAAAACAAAAGATGATTAAGAAACTAATGTCACTAAATCAATAAATGAAGTACAGCTACTTCCTAATATTAATGTTGTACAGTCCTCTTCATCCCACAGCGCACACGTGCACACACCCACAGCACAAAATATGGCAATAAGCAGCAACTTCTGCACATATTCAGTGTGACATGACACAAACCATTTAGAGAGAGACCAGATTAACGAGATTAAGTACAATCCCTGAGAACTGATAACAAGATGTCTGCTGATATTATTTAGTTTACAGG